GGAAAGAGAATAAAAGAGAAAAATAAGAAAGAAGTACTGTAGTCTATTGAAAATAAACACATGTAGGTTGAACACAAATGGTTTTCCATGTTCATTCATTCTTTCAGATTACTAAGCAATAATATCCCATGCTGCTCTGCCATGCTGCAAAGTGGAGCTCTGAAAAGCAAGCTGAACATGAATAACCATTGTAGTATTTGACCCTTTCAAACATCTTTCCATGTAGACTGCAGTGAAATAATTTAACCTTGTAACTACCTGCGCAATAGGTAAATAAAACCCCCAAACCAGCCACTTACTTTTCTGCTTCAACATGAACTCAAGTGTGTATCAACATGCTTTCCAAAGTGCAAGTTGAAGTGCCTCAATGTATGTATCTGGAGGCAAGACATGCAGAATAGTCCATCTTATTATGACCCTGCTTCCTACATTCCTTTGAGCTCCAAAGGCCTATAATGGTGAACACAGATTCAGGTCACCTGAGGCTTTGTAGTGTGGTGTTTCATTTTGGATCACCCTCACATCCTGTGCAGTCCAACTTTATTTTTAGTTTACACAGCAAAAAATGAATGCAGCCTGTGAGTCTGATCCTGTTAAAATCAAGTGCACTCCATCCGTAAAAGTTAACACAAAACCTTGCTGGTTGTGTAGCAAGGTTAGGTAACCAACAGGCCATGTCTTGGAAGACATCAGAGATACCCTGGAAGTGGTGAAAGAGAAAAATAGCCTTCAGGTCCTGGCGACACTTCAAGTCAAATGGAATTAGGTGGGCAGGAAATTAAGCCAACTGTATTTCTGATCTGGATTAATACATCCAAACTGGTGATCAAAATATGTTTTCATCCCTGGTGCCTCCACCAGATAAGTGAAGATTGAGTCTGCAATGCCTACAAATCCCAATTATCTTTGCAGTGTGTGTGGTGGGTTGGTGATCAGGAGAATCAGTAAGCAGAAAGCTAATGTCTGGCAAGTGGGGGACAAAGGCTCAGCAGAGCAGGCTGGAGGAAGAAAAATGTTTTAGGATACAGATAAGGAAGTAAAACACTAGGGGAGGGAAAGAAGGAAGAAAGGCTCAAAATGACAAGATGATGCGTGGCAGTGAGGGTGATGGGAAAAGATGAGAGGAACAGCCCTGCAAGCACCAAGGTCAGGAAAGAAAGAGGGGAGGTGGTGCCCCAGGCACTGGAGCAGGGGTTCCCCTGCAGCTGTGGAGGGGACTGCAGTGAAGCAGCAGTCTGCAAGTGAGTGTTTCCTGAAGGACTGCAGCTTGTGGGAAGGACCCCACACTGAAGCGGGGGAATATTACAAGGAGAAAGGAGTAGCAGAGAGGAGCTGCCAGGGGCTGGTCTGGCCCCCATTCCCTGTCCACTGCTTACTGTGGGGAGGAGGTAGAGGAGTAGAGAATGAAGGAGTGAAGTACTTGTTTCTGGGACAAAAGGGGTTGTGGAGGTAACGTCATTTCCTCTGTAGTTTGGACTTCAAGACATATCATCAGTATTTTACTATTCATAGGACGTGAGTTACCATATATTTGATTTGTGACTGGAAAAGCTGAAAGTTATTTACAGAAAAGTGTGTTTATTCTAATAGGATTTGTTTCTAAAGTGAAAGCCACAAATCTGTATATGAATTTCTCCAAGAATCTACAATGAGCACGCAAGTGTCCTCTCCCTGATGTCCATGCTTATTGAACAAAATTATCACAGATACAAAATTATCACAAGGCTAAGAAGTCCCTGAGTTCAAGTAAGAGGGAACTAACACCTCTGAAGACCAACATCCCATGGAAGAAGAGGATGCCTAATTTTTCAAGAACAGAGTAAGCAAGGATGCTTTTCTTCTCTGGAAAATTACCAGTAAAGAAGAGATGAAACGCTCTGAGTCCCACAACTTTATAGTAATTCTTCTGCCCCAGAAATTTCAGAAGTCTTCAAGACTGAACTAAGCCTTCCTTTTCTAGTAAGATTACACAAAAGGTTCAAGTTAAAATAAAAAGCAAGGTTTCTGAATGCTCTGGAAGTTACCTGCAACTCTCTCACTTCCTCTGTCTGTCACCTATGTCAGGTCATCCTGTCCAGGCTGAAATGGATTTGGGTGGAGTTGGGCTCCTACATATTTGTTTTGTAATCTTGTCTCGTTAAGCTTTGTTAATCCTGTGCCATTGTTTTAGAGCAGAATTGGCAAATAATTTTACAAACACAACCCCAAAGAGCAATGAGATGTGAGGAAGAGTGACAGGCTTGGAGAATCGTCTAATTTTAGTATTCCTTCAGGACCAGTCTGTATTTGGTCTGAGCAATATCCCTTTGTCAAATATTTAACAGAAGAGAAAGTAATGTCTTTCACCTGTTAGAGCAAGTCCCTGATGTTGCTAGAACACACATGCTGTAGGTTTTGGCCTACAAATTGGCCAGTTGGCCCTCTTTCAATTTTCCAGTGTAGGTCAACATTAAGCAACATGTTTCTTGGGTCAATATTTTATCTGATCCTGCATGATATTAAATTGATAGTCTGTTATTATTAATCTCTGTCTCTACTGTGTCCATGACTGCATTTAAAAAAAACATTAACTCAGTAACGAATTTCAAGAAAATAACAAGACTCCTAGTATTATACTAATTTGGTTTTTATTCTTACTAAATAAGCAACTGTGCAACAGGGCTTTATTCTTTCAATTGTCTACTTTGGCAAGTTGCTTAATTTAAAGCCAGAGATTTGACAGCCACCTAGCTTCATTTTAAGTTAGTAAGTTCTCCCTCAAAAAGCTATTCCAAACTTTGTTTCTAATACCAAGAACTACTCTCTGAATGCAGTTTTCATGTACTGTACTAAAGTGAAAATAAAAAAGTCCAGTGACATCCAATTAGATGTAGATACTAAAACCAAATGATTAGTGTAAGAGGCTGCATGTGTTATCATATGAGACGTTTTCCTTCTAGGTAACTGAAGAGTAAGAAAGGGTCAAACAGCAAAAACATACAGAAAGGATAAGAGAATTGAACACTCTAGAGAATTTGGTGAGAAGACACACAGTACAGTACATTCAGTAAGAGTGAATGTTGAAAAACAGGACTGAACAGCATTGTTGAACTACATTGATAAAGACTAAAGCTAGATTTCTTATCCTTTCTTTTGGTATGTGAGATACGGAGTTTTCCAGCAGTGCTTGAAACAAGGCATTGAACAACAGTAAACAGATATTTTATTTGTTTTTAGTACAGTGTTTAATTCTGCAAACATCTCTGCTGCTTCAGAATACAGAACATCATTATATTGATAAGACAACAGCACACTGACATGTTGTGATGAGATTGGGTTGCTGTGTTGTGAAACACTCATACTGACGTTTTGCCCAGTAAGCAAAGTGTTTCACTGCTCAAGAATACGTGTGGCAAACCACTGCAAACTGCAGGTGTCTGTGTTTCCAAGAACAAAAGACAGATCATCCCTGAGAAATCTGTCTGATCTAGAACTAAGAAACCCAGTGCTATGAAAGTTAAGGTCACCTCATCATTAAACAGCTTTCAAAGAAGCACCAGTTTCCTGTTCCATACACTTAGCACTACGTGAAAAAAGGATTTTACATGCTTCTCTGAAAACTCCCAATTCACTACTGAAAACTGAAGCCCATCTGATGCAAATGTGCTTATAACCAGCTCTAGCGTGTGCAACTCACTAACACATGCAAAGGAGGGATGAATTCTAGCAGCCAGTTTTGCAGTTTTCTGGCTTTGTTTTACTTCCTCCCCCCCGGCTTTTGATAGAAACAGACACCACCACTCCTCTGCAGTTTGCATGATTTCTCACTTAGGAATAAGTGATGCAGTCAAACTCTTACCTCCTCATACACTCCAGAGCCTGGGTGAAGACCTGTGGAGCCATCCCATGTTCATGCTGTAGGATCAAGCACTGCTCTAGGGTGACTGACATGGCAGTCCTATCCTTGGCGCTTTTACAGCTGGTAAATCGAACACCGTTTAGTCTGCGGCATATCTAGAAGCAGGACAGAAAATTCATCATCCCTTCCTCATGCAGAATCTTCCACCAAAGAGCACACCTGCACTTCTCCTTAGAGAGATACAAATGTTGTGCTGGATTTTGATATCAAAAGTTGTCATCTTTCTGACAGCAGAACCTTGTTGCTTGAGTTGCAGGGAAAATACTGATGTGGAAAATAAATTTTATCTCCCCATGTCTCAGAGGAGACTCTCTGGTGACCTTACAGCAACTTTCCAATATCTGAAAGGGGCCCACAAGAAAGCTTTGGTAGGGTTTTTTACATGGGTGTGTAGTGAGAGCACATGGGGTAGTTGTTTGAAGCTTAAGGAAGGGAGATTAGGAGAAAGTTCTTTCCTGTGAGGGTGGTGAGACACTGGCACAGGTTGCCCAGGGAAGTTGTGGAAGCCCCATCCCTGGAAGTGTTCAAGGCCAGGATGGATGGGGCTCTGAGCAACCTGGTCTAGTGGGAGGTGTCCCTGCCCATGGCATGGGGAACGGAACTACATGATCTTTAAGGTCTCTTTCAACCCAAACCATTCTATGATTCCTGTGTCTCATTCTAGAGGATGTTTAACATGGCAGCACTTCCAATCTGGACACAAGCAAATTAAGAAGTTTGAAAATATTGGTAATGAAAAAGGGGAAAATACATACACACACAGAAAACCAGCTGAACTATACAGAGATGCTCAGAATAATAAATACCTCAGCAGCTTGCCAAAGGATATCAACATTCTTATTTTTCCTTGCATGTACATTCTGTCCTAGAAATCTTAACAGTTCGGGCAGGCACGTCTGACTACGAGATCGAGGTAGACCTGTACAACAAACAAAACCAACCCCAATTATTTGTCTGTATTCAACACTTTTACAAAGTTATATGAAAAGTGTTCCTATATTCCTGTAGGAAACACAATCATGTTTTCTTAAAACTATCAAACATTACAACACTTAATCCAATTCTTCGTTAGTACCACCAGCAAAACAAATTCAAGTTTAATTAAACTCAACCAGAAATACACATTCAGGTTATTAAAAAATTCAGGGGCTCTGAATGTCACAGCAATACAATAACAAAGAGTGAACAAAGGAAGCAAGACTGGTATAGTATCTTGGTTTGTGTGTCACAGATGTTCACACTGCTCAGAACTGTATGGAAACATGTAACTGCTTGTAGTATCACTCCCCAGAGGTGACAGGACATCACACATGTCTCCACAGAAGATCTTTTGTATTCTGTTCACATTTTCAGTTTTAAATTGGCAAGCTGGGTAAGTTTTCAGTTGCAAGAAACATTCCTTCCTACAGGATATTGCACTCCCACAATTTGTTTATTAATACTTCTTCACAAAGTAGAAATAAACCAGTGGGAAATGTTCAGTATTTCAGAGCGCTTCCAGCCTTACATGTTCAAAGTGTCACACATGATCTCTTACACATCTAGTAAGATACTCAGAGACAATCAACAAGTATTAAACAGGTTGTTTGGTTTTTTTCAGTGTGGTAACTACCAGAGGGGACACCAACTAGGGCTGTGACTAGATAAATAAGGTGATATACATTATTAAAAAATGACTATGACAAAAAATAACCCCTTGTGGGTGATATATGAGGTTTTGTTTTCGGGCTACATCTCTTCTCACAGCAAACAGTAGCTCAGCAATACTGTGTCTATCCTGGCCTGCTCTGCATGAACTCTACACCTAGAAAGGAAGTAATACCTGTAAACAAAAAAGAGGGCACAGACCATCTCCCCACATATTTCTAAAGACAAGGAGAACCAATGAAACAATGACAAGGAGCTAATGAAGCTAAGAGCAGTTCAGCTTGTGGACATTCTGCAGTGCTTAGAGCACAGAGACAACACACCTTCAGACCTTCCCTATGACATGAACAGTCCTAGGTTTGTTCACATAGTCTCAGCTTTTCAGAAAGGATCTCTGAAAAGGATCTGGTGGGTATCCCAGACACAACTGCTGAGATACACGCAATATTTTTTCACACATCTAATAAACACTTTCCCATTTTTTGTTTGTTTTGTTGGTTTGGTTTGTTCCAAAACAAACCATTTGTCCAGGCTGGACTGCAAAACCAGGTACAGTATGTCTGCACTTACCCAGGACAGTGAAGCAGAAGAAAGTTTTATCACAGGGCAGATTTTCCCCCTTTGTGGTATTAATTTCATGTGGCAAGGATGAGTATTATGAGAGTAAGGGGAGAAAAGGCAGGTAGACACAAGACTATTCTGTTTTCTTTCAGGTAAAGATGCATGTTAAGGCCCTCTGTCCAACACTGCATGCCAACCTGATTCACAACTTCACGTTACTTGAAGAAAAACTCTGGTATAAAACACCAAGTGTTTTATAACATAAACGAGAAAATCAAGGTCATGGCACTAGTGCACTTTGAAAACAGAAGAGAGTAAGTATGAAGTTAAAGAACAGAATTTAAAAAAATTGAAAAGAGAAGGATAAATAATAGGACTGAGAACAGACTGGAGCATAAAAACAGAATTTCAGGAAAAAAGACAAAAGCTAAAGGATTACTGGATCAATATAAGAGGTCTGGGGACAAGAGAAGCAACTGAAGTAAGAATAAAACAAACAAAATCAAAGAGGAGAGGAAGGAGCTGAATGGGAACTACTATTATGGAAGACTATGGACAGAGACATGAAGTAATGGAGAAAAGCAGAACAGAATTCACTTTAAATTTATTGACTTTTGAACTTTACCAGAAAGTCTGATGCAGGCTACTATATTAAAAATATAATATAATAATATATAATTTTTGCAGATTATTTTTCTGCACAATGGATTCTGCAGGATTATGAATGCCTGGAAGAATGGAAACAGTTTCTGCTCTCAACTGCATCAAAACAATCCAGGGGAAGTGAAAGTACAATAACATGTTTAATAGACAGAATTCTCACTGCCCTGTTGAATGTTACTGCTTTTGTATTTCTGCAATAAAACTGCAATTGTGAGACCCATGAAATTAGTTTACAAGAGGTTTGATACTAATAATACTGAACCCATTCATTTTCACCAGTTATGTGGTTAAATGCGAATAACATTTATGCCGTTGCCTCCCAAAAACCACAGTAATAAGCAAGAAACCTTCCTATATAACCAGTAAAATTCAAGCTTGTAGCTATTGTCTTTCTCACAGGAGCTAGACTTCTGTGCTGCTGGCTGCAGGTGCAACAACTACAGGGGAGAGCCAATGGACAAGCAGGGGAGAGTGATTAAGTTCCTAAAAACTGGCGATTGCTCTCTGTGCAGGTACAGAGAATGTCATCAAAACTGCACATAAAAGTGTTGCTGCTATGACACATCACTTGTATGCCTTCCCCTCACAGCAACCTGACTGCCTAGCACATGTGTGTGTATAAGCATAACAATGAGTAAAGCCAAGTAAATGAAAAAAGGAAAGTTAATCAGACTGATGTTTAAACCTCTTGATTCTGCTCTACTGTATGAAAATGGAGTTGCATCATTTCTTGGACGTTACTAATGTTGGTGTATCATTAACATGAAACAAACAAGTTTAAACAAACAAGTTAAAAAAATTAGCCTGAATTTTCAAGCAAATTTGCCATTAATTACCAAATACTTACAATCATCAGGCAAAACTTCCTTGAACTGCTCAAAATACGAATTCAACCGCACTAAACTTTCCATGTTAATTATTTCTTGCAGGGAGGTGTCTCCAAACCTTTAAAAGGTGAGGAAAGAAACAGTTAAGCCCAAGGTAAAAGATTTCTCATCTTCAAAACAAAACTGCACTTGGCAATATGACTATCAGAAAACTGTTTAAGTATTCATCTAATGAAATTCCTAACCATTCAAATGCAGAGTAACATGTAACAGAGAAGTGTTGTAGCGATTCATTACAGAAAAAGAAAACCTGTGTGAGAGGAAAAGTGGGAAGGAAGGTGAAAGAAGCATTTGTACTTAAAAAAAACAGTACTTAATTTTTTTGGCTTTTGTTTCTTTTCAAATATTAAATACCCATCTGGTAAATAACTTTGCCAAAATTCAAACTTTTAATAATGTATTCAATAGTTTAGTTCTTAAGCTAGTAATAACCATAATATCAGTAGGTAGGATTGAGAACCTTGACTTCAGATATATAAGTAAGAAATATGGACCTAGAAAGAATAAACAGTGAATATAATAAATATGGTCAACAATGCCACAATTAATCTCATCTAAATATATCTACATACGTAGATACACACACACAGCACTGACATCTGTAAGTGTACTTGTCACCTTGGGCTGTCTTTCTAGGCAATACAGGACAACAGTAGCTGCCTTTGTTATGTTGAATGACTTTTTCTAGTTTTCCACCATCTTACAGCACACGCCACCCCAGTACCAAGGCTGCTCTCACAACATGCATATGCCTGACTTCACTGGAAGTGAAGTATGTTATATCTCCATTAGAAAAGTGCTCTGTCAATATAATCTTTACGAGATATGGCCATAACAGAGAAAAGCTCTGGTGGCTCTCCCAAAACTGAACAGTTTCCTTAGCAAACATAATCACATAATTATATTTTTCAGCTTTACAAAACCGATGTTGCATTACAAAAGTACTGCAATGATGTGTTAAAACAAAGGTCCATCTGGCCCATTGTCCTGTTTTTTGACAGCGGTCAGAAAAGAGTGTGGGGGAGTGTAGCAAATACACAGTGTCCATTCAGAATGATCTCTCAGCCTCTAGTGACCTGTGACTCACAGAGGTCTGCAGTTACAAGCAGCACCTCTGTGTTAAATAGCCCATGAGAGATTTCCTCGTTTGCAAATTCACTTCTGAACCACACAAACTGTCACTAGACTTAAACCCATGTGGTAGTACATAGCTCCACAGCTATGTACCATGTAAAGATGGAGCTCCTTTTGCTTGGCTTGCATTTGACAGCTTCATTTAGCATTTCCTTGTTTGTGGACTGGAGAAACTGAATCACCACTAGTAATGCAACAGTGCAACTCCATGGAGACAGACTTCCATCAGAACAGGAGACTGCTGAACTGCCATTAAGAATGAGCTTGCATGACAGGCTACATACTTCTCTGCTAGAGTTTGCTGCTCATTGATTCCCACGTTGAAAAGCACGGGCTGAACCCTCAGCAACATGCCACTCTGAATCTCCCGCGGCAACAAATCGAACAAGGCGCTTGGCAAAGGGATCCTCACATTAAATCCATCCCTGCAAACAAACAAACAGCCATTAGACATAAAAGATCAAAAAGCTGCATTTGGAGCACGCGTTATTTAGGTAAAGGGGGATAGCATCCAGAAAATGATATTACTGTTAAAAAAAAATCAGTCAAAACTGAGGACCTTAAGGAACTGCCATAGCTTGCTCCTAACCAGAAAAGCTGTTCTAGTTAATAAACAAACCTTCCCCAGCCTGTAGTGTTGATTTCACACCCTCATGGATACTTCAATCAGCTCTGCTAATTTCCTTACAAAAGCCAATTTTGCTCCACTTATTAATACTGCAGCTCTTGTACCACTTGGGAAGAAACAGCCAATTTTGGCCCGTTCCCATCTCATCAAGAGTGAAGTATATTTAATTTTGAAGTGATAAGGGCTAGTAATGATGCACATGCATAAAAGGATACTTTTCTGGGTACACTACATAGTACTGACGTGTCTGAGCAGAATGATAGAGGCAATAATAGTAGTGACCCAAGTATAAATTGAAAGGAGAGCTAACAAAAGCACCCATACAGACCTTTTTGACTTACACCTACAAGCTGCTCCTGCAGCAAAAGTTACGTCGGGTCAGCTGAGCTACAGCAAAGACCACTATGTATGCTTTATCTCATGGCAAGTGTGAGGCAATGCACCTGACCTTCTGCTGTAACACCAGTGCAGACTAAGCCATGTCATATTACCATGTGTTGGAACTGTCCAGACACACTGTGTGTGCTAACCTATCAGCAGCAATACATTGGTGCTGCATCTAAGTCTCTACAGTGCAGAGCTCTCAGGTAGGGTATAATAATCTCAAGTATAGCAAAAGAGCTCAGAGAAGTATATAATAAGGTAATTAAAATTGGTCTGTGCCACATTTACATTGGATGGATGCACAAATACTATGCAATGATTGAAAGCAAATACCTATTTTCATTTCTAAATGTAAAACTTCCAATAGTTTGCACCAAAATGAATACACATTATATCTTTCCTCTCTTTCTTGAGTAAAATCTAGACAGGAAAATAACAAGCAACATTATCAAGCCTGAAACTAATGGAGACTGGTTTCCTGCTGCTTAGTGTCCTATAGGGCAAGTTTCAACTAAAGATTTTCTTTGAAAGGAATTTTCTGTCAGCCATTTCCAAAGGTCTCAGCAATTTCTGTAACATACAGGATCATGCTGTAGGCCTCCTTCAGTCAGGGCACTTGCATGTGAACTTTAACTTAACAAAGCAAATCTAAATGTTTTTATCTTTGAGATTCTAGCTCTTTTTCAGGTGTGGAGGAAGCTGGGCAAAGCTCCAGTGGAGCTTGGTACAGTACACTGTAAATAGTTTGCACCAAAATGAATACACATTATATATCTTTCCTCTCTTTCTTGAGTAAAATCTAGACAGGAAAATAACAAGCAACATTATCAAGCCTGAAACTAATGGAGACTGGTTTCCTGCTGCTTAGTGTCCTATAGGGCAAGTTTCAACTAAAGATTTTCTTTGAAAGGAATTTTCTGTCAGCCATTTCCAAAGGTCTCAGCAATTTCTGTAACATACAGGATCATGCTGTAGGCCTCCTTCAGTCAGGGCACTTGCATGTGAACTTTAACTTAACAAAGCAAATCTAAATGTTTTTATCTTTGAGATTCTAGCTCTTTTTCAGGTGTGGAGGAAGCTGGGCAAAGCTCCAGTGGAGCTTGGTACAGTACACTGTAATCAAATAAGTATTATTTCCTCCAGAAATCAGATTCAAAGCTAAAAGATCCTGACGACTCTGAAATACAGAAACATTGCCTCTGTCCTTCCACAGTTTCATCCCCATCTGTGAACTGGCTCCCTCTGGGCAGGAACTCTATTGCAGGGCCCCATCCAGCTGATGCACAGGCTGAGGCATTAAAGCTGAAGTGCAATTCTGTTTGTTGTAAACACTTCCCATCACAATACAGCTGGAACAGATCACTCCCGCTCCACTTTGGGAGGATCTACATGTTTGTTAATTTAGATTTTTAAAACAAAAACTGCTTTTAAGCTCAAACTTGAACACATCTCTTTTCAGACAAGTGGCCAAAATGAGCAGCAGTCTAGTGTTTCACAAACGTCTCTAAGTTTAAGGCAGCTTGGCCCTGATAGTTTGGAAATTGATGCTAAATAGGCCCCAGCAGCAACCTTGTTCCGTGTCCCGCTGTGCTGCCTTGGGCCCATTACTCAGCAGCACACAGTAAAGCACTGACAAACCAATCAACAGCAAAGAATTTCAGACACTAAGATCAGACTCAAAAGTCGGTCTGAAATTTAAAAACAGCACAAGTGTTTAGGTCAAGATATTTATGCATAAAGCAATAATGCTATGGTTTGAACCTTCTTCTCAGCTTAGCTCCCTGTAAAATGAAACATCAGTAAAAAACAGGAAGTCCACTTCAAAACATTTCTTTGAAGTTCTGAGGAGAAAACCAGCACAGAAGTCCATCATTCAAGTGCAGTATCACTGCTTCTCCCATCTGCAGTCTCATCCCACTTCCTGCTCCTTCCCTTCCCATCTTTTTTACCGATTTCCAGTGATGACTGGCAGCATGTCAGTAGATGTATTTGATGTGGCCTGAGTTACTTTAAAGGTTACGTTCCTCAAGTCCATGATTCCCAAACTCATGTCCTCCAGCATTGCCAGCTCCTCACCTAATCCAAGGAGGACAAAAAATCAATAATAATCATTACTTGTTGCACACAACTGTAGGCTCTCATGAAGTTCTATGGATGAAGGGGGTCTGGAAACCAGGCCTTCACCTTAACCTTGACCTCATGAGTTCAGCAAGTTTAGAAAACACCAAACATCTAAGCACATTCCAGAGCACTCTCAAGTAGATTATATGCTGATTTTCCAATTTAGATGATGCTAGAAAGCCATGATATCCATTGTGTTGGAAAAGTTACGGTGTATTCTGGGTTTGTTCACTTTGACTGTAGGGTTACAGGAGTTCAAGAAAATTTAAAAAGCATATTTGGGGCAGAGTTTCTCATTTAATTCCATTTATTTTCTTTAACAATTATCAATATGATACTGCTTTTTTAAAACTTTTGACATTACAAAACATATATTAAACTTCTGACACTTTCTCTTCTACAGGTAATTCAATTAAATGCAAAGACATTCTGAGTCATTTGCTCAGATCAGAACCAGTATGAATGGGGTACTCCAGATACAATCTGGTTTTGCATTTCAGTTTTCAAAATCATTTTGTAGCTGAGCTGCAGATGGTCCCAAACACTCATGTTCTGCAGAATTTGCTGACTCAACAGCTAATACCACCCACTTGCCCTGTGACTTTACCATAAGTGCTCAGCAGGCTCTCAAACTGCGCCAGCAAGCCAATGGTGTAGAGTTGCCTTAGAAATCCATCATCATGCAGGCAGTTCCTCAGCTTGATAATGAAACCACAAATGAGAGCTGTCAGCTGTGGGAGAGAAAACAGACAGGAGTGAAGTGATTCGAGACAAAAAAGGCTCTTCAGCTCCAAATGGAAACAACATCACATATAAGAGGTGCCAAAAAATCTGTCAGACTGATGTGCTTTTCCCTCAAACGTCTCTCTTCTTTTTCTTGCAGCTGAAGAGGGACAGCCAACAAACAAAAAACCAGAACATGCAGAACATCAGATTTAGTGCGCACTGCCTTCATCTCACAAGCTCTCCCAAAATGGGACTGCTGCTGTTGATCTCGTATCTATTTGCTTTCTGGTCATAATCATGTGCATTAGGGTCTACAATTTATGAATTAGAAGAGAGAGAATTGTTTTAGTTACAGATGGAAAAGCAACACAGCTAGTTTCAGGCCATGGACTTCATATGTTTTGTTTTTTTTAATTATATTTTAAGAAAGCTTAAAAATGGAATACCTGTTTGCATTATTCAAAGATTCAAACTCCAGCGTTACGAGATGTGCAGGACAAGATCCCAAAGATGTAGCACTAAGATCAGTACTAAGGTCTTAAGACTATTACTAGTCTTAATACACTCTGTCAATAAAGTTATTACTACCTATTATGTACACAGGTGTATGACTTTGTTGCAGAATTAAACGACAGCGAATGAAGTTCTGTTTATGATGGGCAAATATATTCTAAGCATTGAGTTTGAAAATTATCTGCCATTTGAAGTGGGTTTTGCACAGAAAAACTCCCTTAGTTTATCTCTGTAAGATACATTGTGGGACAACAGCCCTACCAAACAATCTCCAAGAGATAAGCTGCTTGAAATAAATGAACGAGATACTGATTTCATGAGGGAGCAGACCCACTACAGAAGTGTAACAGGCAGCAGAAATGTGGAAGGTTTTTTAGTGCAGACCCCTGCTGGTCAGTGGCTCACACATGAGACCCCAGCAGGCCCAGAAACAGAACTTCTAGGGGGAAAAGTCAGCACTCATTTCTCTCCTTGTAGCTGGAGTTCTCTCCTTAGGCATTGTAGGTCCTGCTGGTTTTCCCAATGCAGAAAACAACAAAAGGGAACTTAGGGAGTACGCTCACAGGATTTTTTTTTCTCCTTCTTTCACATCTTCTGGTCTTAGGTTACTGGCATTGTGGCAAAGGTAATTTCTGTAGACAGCACTATATTTTCACTAGCCTGGATATTATGATTATTATTTTTTAATAGTGAATGTATATCGAAGGGGACACTGAAGTTATATATTGTCAACTACATGTAAGTGACCAGTAAGGACTGGACAGCACAGTCTGTGAGAGGAGACCACAGTGTTAAATCTGAGAGTAGAACAAATCAGAAATATTCTGGAAACAGTCATATTTCATATAAACCCCAACACATGTTGAAGTGCAGTCAAATGATACATATTTGTATCAAACTTACAGTTTGGCAGAAGACAACATCCCTGCGATACTGAAGGCTCAGGCAGAGCCCTATCGTGGGAGCACTGTCCTGCATTAATAAAAAGACCATGGCTTTCTTTGCCTTGTCACTCATCATGGCTACACAGTCTGTGAGTGTTGTCAGCAAGGGATAAAGAGCTTCACTCCATTCTAAAAGAAAAAAAAAAAATAAAATCAGCAGCACTGTAAGTACTTTCTTTGAAACAAACATGCACTAAGAAGAAACTTCTTCTTGCAAGTCAAAGTTGTTGATAAGTCACATTTAGGGCTGGCTGCTTACTCTCTGCATGTTATTAATTAAGTAATCTTATAGAGTGGTTATTGCATGAGCAAAATATGGACAGTTTAACTCTGTAAGGCTATTATGGCTTTCCTGACCATGTAATAGCTCCCAGATATGTGCCCACAGAACAGGCAATACAACAGCTGATTGGGAAAGCATAACATAAAGATGAGTATCTATACACACAAGGGTATATAACTGCCTGTGATGTTCAAACACACCCTTTCACAGTGCATACATGGACAGACAATATGGAGTCCATCATATAACAGAAATAGTAAACATTTGCTTAGCCATTTCTGTCAATGAAATTTGTCCCAAATATCTTGCCTTTGAATCTTTTGTGGACTCATGGGTGTACAAGTCAAGCCTCATCATCTTATGGATCCTTGTTGCACCTCAGTGAAGTAAGACAATGCTTATCTCACTTTTGCAGCATAGGAATAATAAGGCAGAGAGCTGAAACACTCATATATGTACTCTTTTAAGTGTCCCATGTCTGCTGAGGGGCTTTGAAAGTTTAGCAAGAAACACTACAGTGATTTAGATGGGAGTTAGTCAGATCCTTGGAAGGAGCTTGACTTCCAGATTAAGTCCCAGAGGGGCTCGGTTCAAGGTCAACATATGAAGCACAGAAATGAAACTGAGTTGCTAAAGTCCTATTTTAGTACCCCAAACATTGTGCCATTCCTTCTCCCTAAGAAACAGCTCTGCCTTAAAATGCCCTGCAAGATCAGTTTCTTTCCTTTTCTTCTTTCATATTTTGTCTTAATCAGCCACCAATTTAAAAAAAAACATTTTAAAATCCAAAAAAGTATTCAGATGTACAAAAAATTATTTAGATGGTGTACCAAAAGCCATTCTCTCTGCAATATAAACACAAAATAGAACAGTGCTTTGGTTTTGCCCTCCTTAATGTAAGGCTGAAACAGAAAAACATCTGTCTTTTTAAAGAGAAGGACAATGTGTTTTATTTTTTAAAAGCACTGGAGATCACAAACAGAACACACACAGCCTGGCTGGCTGTAGCAACAAGGCAATGCACAGATCAGAACCAGCATGAATTGGGTACTTCAAGCCCCTGAAAGGAAGTTGTTGGGGATTTTGACTCAAAGGCAGGACTAAGAGCTAGTAATAATAAATGTTTCTTTGATAAGCAGTCAATGAGGGGACCTCTGGAAGTCTGCTCACAGAAACATAACTGGCAAGATTAACAGAACTAACCCTTTTGTTTTTGTTCTATGCAGTAGATAGATAACCTAATAAGCTGCACAAAGGGGAACTTGCTTGGCTTTGTTCCATTGCCATAAAAAAGCAGGAAACATCAAAGAACAGGCAAGGAATCACAGCTTGTCTTTTATACTCTATTAAGTGTTTTTCTCTCAAAATAAAACAGATGCCTTAACATGGCTTTGTGAACACTTAAAAGCAAAACACAGATGATGCTAACAGTGTTTCTCTTACTGCATTTAAGAGCTTTTCTATAAACAAATGAGCATGTCAAAAAGAACTGAAAAGATCTTCCAGCACATCATCATTATCATCTGATTGCCTGCATATAGATACATATATATAGTTATCAACTCAGTGGAGATTTAAAATTCAAGTGTGTCTGGCAGCACTTTATTTGAATGAGATGTGTATCTGTGGCAATCAAAAAATAAACTGGTGGTATATTAGCCTGCCTGAAGATAAAGCAATTGTCAGATGTTTTTTTTCTCCCAAAACTCAGATGCGATTCAGTGGGTCATCCAGGGTAAGGAGCAAAAAACCTCTGTGCTGTTTATTCTCTTGGTTTAAAATTGTGGCCATGGAAAACAAAACCTTGTCAGTCTGAAAAATGCTGAATGCTTTCTGCTACCTACTTTACACAGGTGCCACCTGTGTTCTTTTAATTTTTTAGTCAATGGTAGCTGATATTTTCAGTAAACAGGAATAAAAGGAACTGCACTCCCAGGCTCAAATCAGGTTGGAACATTCCACTGGCAGCATTTAAATAAATGTGACAGGACTCTGAGTGTTCAACTTTTGCCTGGATTCTCCTGTCTTTCTGTCTCCCCCTCATTACATTTTTCTACGAGAACTTCATTACTGAAAGTGTATTTTCTATCAGATCAATCAATGGCACGTTCAAAAACCATCAGGCACTAATTCTAATTTGAAATCTACTCTGAGCTCTGTTCTTACATTCTATGAGCTGACCAGAACTTTTAAAAGCTACTACACACTCCACTGGGCAGATCCACAGGTAGGATGTTTTGGCATAGGGCCTGCAACAATGCAGATACAACACGTTGCTACAGATCTACAACAGCTGGAGACCTAGTCCAGGGTTGCTCTTGGTATGTCTGGGATAAAAATCCTGCTTTTTAAGCATGGGGGGAAGTAATGTGACAGTTAGGGCAATGTGACTGCTTTAAATTACTCCCATTTAAAAATAAAGAAATAGCCCTTCGATTATGCACCACATTCATATTTTGCAAAAACTAAAGGATTGTTCCACGATTTAAGCACTTGTGGCCTTTTATTGATTTAAAACCATTTTTAATGATAAAAGAAAACAGTACAGACTGCTGAGAAGAACATTAATATCCTCTGTGAGGATGAAAAGCATACCTACACTGTGGCTTCATTTCCCAGTGGCTTCACCACACCCAAGAGACCATACTCTAACAGTTCAAAGACTGAACCTTCACTGAACTCAGATTAAACTATTCTCAAATGGGAGAAATTACAGCCATCTAGCTGGGAGAGAGTGGTATTACAGATACATACTATTCAGACCTTGTAAATGCAACACCAGTGTGCAGGAGTACAAGGAGAAAGCTAAGAAGGCTAACAGTGTGATGGGAAGTCTCTTGAATTCTGAAACATGACATTTGCAGTGCCCAGCACTGCTTGGTGTGTATCCATGACAGAGATTCTCCATCAGCCTTGTTGGCTGCTCTGTGCTCTGCTCAAGTTCTCACTCAGAAAGGCCAGCTCAACAGCACATGTGAAAGGGCATGTCTGAAATGTCAGATTCCCACAGACTCCAGTGACATTTGGAACAGGCCTCAAATCGTTCTCACTCACAACAGTTTTCTAAAATACATCAACTGGAGAAACAGCAGAGACCATGAACAAGTGCTCTCTCATACTTGGACACGCGAAGTTACCAGATACCCCCTGGCACTAATGTTTAGAAAAAGAGTAACTTCTCAATAAGCTTAGGTAAGTGATGTGGTATTGCAGAGCATTACCATTTGGAAATGGTCAACCTTAATAGCAAGGCACTTGTTGTTAATCATGAATCAAATCCTGCAGTTTTCAGAAGAAGCAGAAGCCATGAATGCACATACCTGGGCCAGATTCTTCCGGAGCGGGGCTGCAATCTGCACAGAAATGGAGGGGCAACATGCATGATTAAGGAGCAGCAACACAGTTTTAACACAAGCAACTCAAATGCTCAATGCCAGGGTTCTCAAACACTTTAACAGAGGGAAGAGGAGCTCAGCAGAGATACTAGCCCTTTGCCTCCATTGTTTCTGGTCAGAGGAACACCTACATGGGGACTTGGAGAAAAGCCAGTATCCACGAGTTCAGGGGCTCACTGTGGATCACCAGCACGTGCACTGTCAAACCCCAGCCATCCACAGGGCACCATTTGAGAACCACTGGTTTAGTGCAATTATAGAATCAGCTGCCAGTAAGGCTACTAAACAGAACAGCAGAAGACTAGCAGTAAGTTCAAAAGGAAAATAACATTGAGGCACCCACAATGCAAGAGTAATACAGAAACAGTACCTTGCTATCCTAGACAATTTCTGTTATACAATTTCTGAGACAGTTAACATCATCATTAGATTGTCTATTATGGTCTGAAACCTCACCAGTGGAGCCTGTGAGTGTCTCACACTCAGTTCAGTGGAACAAACTGTCAGATGAAAACACAGTACAGTACAATGCAAACAGTAAAAAAAATAATATACACTCTGTTATTAAACTCTTGGTTTAATAAAAAGTAGTTTTTTTAAAGCATTGAACCTGTTCCTCTGTCAAAAATGGAACTACATCTGATGAGAATATTATTGAGCACTGGGCTTGCCCTGGCTTACAACAAACATCCCAAATGCAATTCAAATCGCTCATTGAGACCTGTGAAAAATGTCTGTAGCACATAACTAAGGAACAGGAGTCCCTCTCCACAATTTTTTAAGTTGAATTCACCCTCACCCAACACTGGTTGACAGTCAGACTTCAGATCTGATCTTTATGCTTCGGTAGCATTGGGAAATGACAGCAAGCCCCTTAGCTTTAAAGCCTGCTACACTTCTTGATTTAATGTTTCTGTCCCAGATTCTGTGGATTAAATAGAAAGATTATTTTCTACTTTGGAGGCAGAGTGGGGACAGGTTACAGAAACTCTTGGCACAAACAAAACCTTGGGTAGGTAAGTGAAGCTCATTCTATTTTTGTATGGCCTAAGTGTCAAGACCCAGAGTAGGTGTAAAAGATCAACTGAAAATGAAAGAAAATTATTGTTCTAGGATGCTTCCATCATTTAATTGTCTTGGGAAAAGCTTCTGGTATCACCCATCACAGATTTTTTTTCCTGTTCTTTATAATATTAAAAATCCACAAAGTTTAATCTTTGATTTGAAGGTGCATTGAAGTTTACTGATAAAACTTTGATGTAAATACATATAAAACTTACTGTAAACTGGCTAGCAAATAAAAACATTTATAGGTATCAAACTGGTAAGAAGAAATTTAGTCAACAGTTAATAAAGAACACATTCTGAAACAAGAACTAACTCTCCTATTTCTTTATAATACAAAAAAATCAGTCTAATCTAGAAAAACATGGTCATCTAAGATACTAAGCAAATCATATGTAATGTGTGAAACTACACAAAGATATAACATTGATTTTAAATATCTTCTTTCTTCCTTCTTTTTAAGGTACTGCCTTCTACTGCAGCATTAACAATGAGATGGACATGAAGTCACAGACACAGACAAGGGACAAAGGGCCATCCAACAGTACGACAGAACAGGAGAAAGGAAATGAAAACACAAATCAGTCTTTCTAGAGCTTAGCTTGGTGCACCTGCTCTATTAAGTGGCCAAATCACAGTGACCATATGTAAAGAACATGAGGGTAAGTCAAATGATTCTGAAATTTAGTGCACAGCTGCAAAATTGTCAACCTCAACTGATAAGGGTATCATTCAGATTTCATTCACATGCTCATGGCATTATGCTGGATTCAATCCAGCACCCATTTTACCTCAAATTTTGATAGGACTGCTCCACTGAGAGCTTGCACTGCCAATTCCTACCTTCCAGCTACAAGAAATCCAGCTGAGTGCCTCAGCACCACAGCTTTTGACAATTTGGATTGGAATTGGCTTTAAACTCCAGTAGGTTCATCAAAGTTGAGCTCAATCTAGCAGGATGGCTTAGGTCACCCCCTAGGCAGCCCACCTGGAACCATTAGTGTTTGCAGTGGCGCCTGCACTTCTCTCATGTTTTATTCATCTTTTATAGAGGCTCATTGCAATAAGCTTTGATTGCTGCAAAGAAGCTGAAACCAACAAAAAAGCTACCAGAGGTGTTGTGTTGTCTGACACATGCTAACCCAAACACCTGTTTTATCAGCTTAAAACACCCAGTGTAAAAACCCAATGCCACCGTAATCAATGGAGTTGAAAATTACTTCCCTGGGATCAGGATTTCAAAGTATGCAATGGGTTTAGCAGCTCTCATTACACTCCCCAACCCTTTCTGCCTGACTTCAGTGCTTAACACCACCACTAAACAACAAACATATGGGAAGATGTAGCGGAGGCTTAGGAATGATGCCAGCACACAGCAAGAGAGCAGCAGGAAGAAGCAGTGTCTGGCATACGCACTTGTCTTTGTGAGAGAATGACATGCACAGGATGGTGTGGATGAAGATGGTGGTGGTGAGGATGATGAAGGTGGTGAGGATGAGGAGGTCTCATTTAAATCTTCTGGATTTATCCAGTAGGCACGAGTGTCCCGATTACCTTTCTTGCTAGTACAGCTGATGTCACACTGGAAAACATCTTCACAGCTGTCACTCTGCAAGCGCTCCTTCTGGAGAAGTTTGTCCACTCTCTGTATAATACACTCCAAACTTTTGTCAACATTCAACCAAACTTTCTCCTTAAAAGAAAACATTTCTTTCTCAGTTTAAAAAGAAGAGACACTGGGTAACAAATCCCTTGGCAATCTATCTCCTCCCATGATACTAGTCACAATTCCTCTGCAAAGTTTCCTCTGGGGTATTGTGTTTACATTTGTGCACACACAAACTCTGGGTATATAAATAATGTATGTCAACAATATGTAGTAACATGACTTTTGTGGTGAATTGCAAAGCTATTTTCTCAGTAAATTTGCTGAACAATTTTAAGTGCCTCTTTCTGCACTATTACTCCAATTTCCAGTTGGCACTATTGTTTCTTCTTGAAACTCGTGTTTGACATAATAATTGTATACGATCAGACATTTTTTTTCTATTCAATGTACTGAAAAACAGATAAAATTACTGCATTGTATTACTATCTAAATAACTGAATTGGCTTTATGCATATCTCATTGCTGTTGAGTTTGACTGTAAGTCAAAGTATGCCAAAACAATTAAAACTAACAAGGATCCATTTCCAAAATGAACTGAATCTAATTTCTAATTTGAGATGTCACAATATTAATAACTAATTTATCTTGACAATTTTTGAGAATTAATTAACTTCTGTTTATATTGCACAGTGACAGAATTTACACAGCCAAATTCTCATTTCATTTGGCAGTAGGGTAAGGAAACTCATTTAAACTCTTTGTGCAAACAGTTTTAAAATGCTGTTCACAATCAAAACAAAGATGGACTGCAAGTTCTAAATATTTAGATGAGGATAAAAACCAGGAAGGTTGAATTGTGCAGCAAACAGGTGCAAAATATGCTTTATCTTGGAGAATTGCAGGAGTCCTTTGTAGTGTGGTAAGTTGTTTTTTTTTTACTTTTTTTTTACTTTAAAAGCTATTTATTTTCCCTTGAAACCAACTTCAGAAAAGCCATGCACCTACTGTAAGGACCTCCACTATTTAGGAGATGCAGAAATCATTAAGGCCTGTTTCTAACCCCATGCCAAGGAGTAACTGAACATAGGACGAAGGGAGTATCTTTGGTAGATGAGCAATACCTTCAAAATAGTCACTTTATGCATATCTGGTGAGCAGTTACAGAGCTTCTAAAAACAGACAAACCAACAAACCCACAGCAACCAACAGCTAAAAAGAAGAATATATTCATCACTCTAAGCAAACATACCCATTCCTCTTCGTGCCAATCCACCTGCAGAGAAGATCGACTATTTCTTCCTGTCCATCTGGCCACAAGTGTATCTTGATCATTCCTCAGCATCACTTGCTCCCCTTCTCCAGAGGTTGGAGATGCTTTGGAAGCTATATAGTCTGGCCTTGCAGCATTGAGACCATGTATTGAATTTGCCAACAGCTTGCAATCACAGACTGTGACAAGTTGCCGAGTCTAAAAAGCAATAAACCCCCACTCCATTTTAACACCTTTTCATTCTTCTGTAGACAATTCATAATATGTTATTTTGTAGAAAGAGAAAAGAAGACCTAGTATTCTGTAAAAGAAACTAACCACTGTTTAGGAGTCTCTAAGATGCCTTTAAAACCATTTCACAGAATTGCCTTAAAAAAGCAATATACAGTACCAAAACACAAAACATTTCCAAAGTCTGTACTATTATTTAGCCTTGCAAAAGTTGAAAACTTCATTAATAAGTGTGCAATTCACCTTTATTTGCATTTCATTTTCCAAATGATGAAAGCTTAGAACAACATGCAGGCATTTTTATACTCCACACAATAGATGCCATACCTGAGAGACCATACTTAACATCCACCATCTTGTCTGAAATCATAACAAGACTTAAGAGAAGGGCTGAAGATACACCCCACTAATGGATGCAACTTGTTCTCTGTCTTAGTTAGTGGTGTTGTATTAACAGATTTCTGTAAGTTATGTGAATATGACAAGTATTTGGCCTGTGACTCTACTAAAAAACTAACAAGATGCATGTTACATATACATGTTGTCCAGCTGTAGAAAATCCCACAGACCACTTAAACACACTGTTCTCATTTAGAATTAATATCAGAATAAAGAATACATTTTACAGAATCATAGAATCATTTAGGTTGGAAAAGACCTTCAAGATAATCTAGTCCAACCATAAACTTAACACTGCCAAGGCCACCACCAAGTCATGTCCCTAAGCACCAGGTCTAAATGTCTTTTAAACACCTACAGAGATGGTGAGTGGATCAGTTCCCTGGGCATCCTATTCCAGTGCTTCACAACCCTATTAGTGAAGAAATTTCTCCTAGTATCCAATCTAGACCTCCCCTGGCACAACTTGAGGCCATTTCTTCTCATCCTATCACTTTCTACTTGGGAGAACAGAACATTGTCCACCTCGCTACAACCTCCTTTTAGGTAGTTGCAGAGAGCAATGAGGTCAGTTCAACCCTCAACCTCCTTTCCTCCAGGCTAAACAAGCCCAGTTCATTCAGATGCTCTTCGTGAGACCCTTCAGCAGCTTCATTGCCCTTCTCTGGACATGCTCCAGAACCTTTGTGTTCTTCTTGTAGTTGGAGGCCCAAAACCAAACACAGTACTTGGGTCTGGTCTGGTTTCTGTCAGCACCCATCAAAAAATAACTGATTCACATCACTATAATTCAAGCAAAGGCTGTGTTGCCATTGTTCTTTATTTCACCAGTGGAAAAATAAAGAATTGTTTGATTTACTTAATTTTAGCTCAGTTGCTGCTGCTTGAAAGATGACTCAGAGGAGCATTAGAAAAAGCAGGTGGATGTGTAGAAAAGGGTTTAAAAGAAAGTGAAGAATGGAGATTTCTGGAATATGATGAATTAATACAGGGAACCAGAGGACATTGCTCTCCACTGCACTCTCAAGAGGAGGTGAAGGCAAGAGTGTGAAAAGTAGGAGACAACCTAAATAAAATGCAACAGATTTTAAAAATTGGTCTGATTTTGCTTTTTCTTTAGGACTGTACATATTACAACACACTACAGAACAAGGTAAAACATGTTTCAAGAAAACCTACTGAACACAGAGACAGAGGAAAAAAAAATCACACTGTTCTTCAGTACAGAAATGTATGATTCTCCTACCTTGTCTGCTAGGATGGCAAGTGTTCTTTCAAGGCCATTAGCTGATCTATCCTTGGCAGCTCTGGAGAGCCTTTCTGCATAGTAACTGACTTGCGTTTTCAGGGTGTTGATTTGTGCAATAATTTCCTTTGCTCTAATAATGTCCTGTGGGATGTATATTATAGACTGGGAACTTGTTGAGGTGCTGAAAAAGAAAGACTGATTTTAGGGAGAAAATTGATCTAGAGGTACACACATTACAGTAGCATGCTGGGGAATTAATGGCAGTCCACAAAAAATTTACCTCAGCTAGCATTCAACAGTGAAAGACCAGTGGGCAATTGCACAGCAGGAACATAATCCTAGAGCCTCCTCTGCCTTTACTGAAAGCATTCAGATGCAGATTTATTCATCCCTTATGCCAAGGGGTTGTGGGCAGAGCTTGTATACCAGAGGGACAGTTTTGCTGAGGAGAACGTGGGGCTAGATTTTGCCATCAGATAAAGCCATCTTGCCCAACCCTCCTTCTTCTTACCACACAGACACTTCCCTGAAGCCTGGTTTCCAAACCTGCACTACCACACAGCCACCAGCAGCAGGAAAAGAAAATCTGCACTCCCTCTAACACAGAAATACCACCCTGATCCACAATGCAAATACTGTGGTATTAACACAAATTCTTTCTGCTAGTATATCCTCTCCTCTATTGCAGGCCTAATTCAGGTAACACCAGCAATAGCAATTTTATGAGATCTAAAACCCAAAGTATATCTCCAGGCCAATCCAAGGATTCTGTCCTCAGTGTAGCTGTTAGCACATGCTTAATAAATTAGAGACAGGGTACAATTCTCCCTATTATAAACTTAGCTGTAACAACATAAAACAATACCAAATTTCAGGCTTTTCCAAATAGTAAGGAAAATAACACCAATAAAACACTGAAATACTGCAGCTCCACTAAGTCTGCTTACTTGGTGGT